TATTTTGTTTTTTTTTGTTTTTTTAGTTTTTATTGTTGTTGTTTTATTTGTTTGTATTGTAGATATTAAAATATAAATAACTATTGTTGTGGTAATAATTATAATATAGGCAACATAAATATATATATATATATATATATATATATATATATATATATATATATATATATATATATATATANTATATATATATATATATATGTATATATATATGTGTGTGTGTGTGTGTATACATCATATATGTAGTATAAAGAGGGTGTTAATAAATATAAGATATAATACAATTCATATTTAATATAAAAGGACCCAGCCCCCAACAGAAGGAATGCATATATAAACCATAAAAGAAATAAAAAAAACGCAGAAACCGAAAAAAATAAAATATATTAAACTTTTGGGTGCTTGTTTGTTAGCAACTAAAACTGTGTTGTTGTTGTTGCTGCTGCTGCTGCTGCTGCTGCTGCTGCTACTGCTGCTGTGTGCCCCTCCTTGCTGCCGCTGCTGCTGCTACTGCTGCTACTCCTGCTGCTGCTGCTGCAGCTGCTACCACTGCATCAACATCTGCTGCTGTGCTTCCTCCCTGCTGCTGCTGCTGCAGCAGCACAGCAGCAGCAGCAGCAGCTGCTGCTGCTGCTGCTGCTACACAGAAGCCATAGAGATCCGCATTTGTTTGTCTCGTGCGTTTGAGAGCAGCGGTAGAGAGAAGAAGGCCTCACTTGATCACCGAAATATAAGAGAGAAACCCGGGGGGCTGAGGGGTGAAATTCGTGTAAAACGGGTGGAAATCTTTGTCCTAATAAAATAAAAACAAAGAAACAACAAAAAAATTAAAAAAAATAAACCTAAATTGATGAAAAAAGACCAAAAAAGAGCAGCCCGTGGCGGTATGCATGCTGCACAATTGAGAAAAATTGGGGTGTACGTACACCCGAAATTTCGCTTACCGATGATGTTAAAGAAGTGGAAAAAGTTTTATAAGAAAAAAGAAATAAATTTTAATTTATTTTTGTTTTTTTATGCTGATTTTTTCTTCTTTTTCTCTCGAGTTGATGCAAGAAGAAAGCCCCATCAAAGCCCTCATAGAAACAAACACCCTCTGTATGCGCGCCACACCTACAGCAACACAGCCCTATAGAAAGCTGTATTTTTTGTTGTTTTTTTTTGTTTTTTTTTCATTTATAATGTGTTAAATAATAAATCAAACTTTATTTTAATTATTTTCCGTTCATAGATCTCAATTTGGGTCTATATACACCCAGCTTTCTCTCGTTTCTTCTCTCCTCACCGCCGCCACACAGAGCTGCATATACACCTGAAATTCAATATTTTTTCTACCCTTTTCTGTTGTTTTCTCTTCTTTAATTTCAGCTTAAAGCTGTTTTAAACATTTATTTTAAACTTTTTAAACTGTGTCTTCTTCTTTTTTTTCTTTTTTTTTCTTTTTTTTTTCTTCTTTTTCTCGTTGCGGATCGTCGATACAACTGCAGCAAACATGCACAGCCCAATCACTCCTCCACACGCAGAAACAGCAGCAGCAGCAGCAGCAGCAGCAGAAACTACTGCTGCTGCTGCTGCTGCTACTGAAGCCCTACAGGCGATCCAGGATTCTTTTGCTGCTGCAGCAGCAGCAGCAGGGGAGACGAAGGACCCGCCCACGCACTGGTAAGCAGCAGCACGCCAGCAGCAGCAGCAGCAGCAGCAGCAGCAACAGCAACAGCAGCAGCAGCACATCAGAGACAATAGCAGCAGCAGCACACCACCAGCAGCAGCAGCAGCAGATTACCAGCAGCAGCAGCCGCAGCAATCGATCCTCCTTTTGGTGTGAGGTGTATAATTTGTCTGTTGTGTGTGTTGGCTTCCTCATATATATTTTTATGTATTTTTGTTGTTTTTGTTTTTATTATTATTACGCTGTATCTGCTGCTGTTGCTGCTGCTGCTGCTGCTGTTGCTGCTGCTGCTGCTGCTGCTGCTGTTGCTGCTGTTGCTGCTGCTGCTGCTGTTGCTGCTGCTGCTGCTGCAGGGGAGATATAGCTGAGTTGCGGCGTCGTTTTGCTGCCGATGATTCTGCCGTTTTGGATTTAAATGCGCTGCGGGCGGTGAGATAAACAAAACCATTCTAGGGTTTAGGGTTTAGGGTTTAGGGTTTGGGGTTTAGGGTTTAGGGTTTGGGGTTTAGGGTTTAGGGTTTAGGGTTTGGGGTGTTCAGGAGCATCTGCCGCTGCAAGAAGGAGTCCTCTGCCGCTTTATGTGCTTCGTTAAACAGGTTAGCAGCAGCAGCAGCAACAGCAGCAGCAGCAGCAGCACAAGCAGCAGCAGCAGCAGCAGCAGCAGCAACAGCTGCAACAGCAGCAGCAGCAGCAGCTGCTGCTGCTGCATGTGCACCTTCTTCCCTGTGAAATCCTGACAGCTGCTGCTCTCCCTATAGTTGTCTCATCAGCAGCAGTAGCAACATCATCATCATCCTCCGCAGCAGCAGCAGCAGCAGCAGCAACAGCAGCAGCAGCAGCAGCAGTTGTTTTTTGTTTTTTTTGTTCAGCCTTTAAACGCGGAATGTTTTGTTGGGGCGGTCTGCAACGCAGGCAAATGGGAATCCTCCAAATTCAGGTACACCTGCTGCTGCTGCTGCTGCTGCTGCTGTTGCTGCTGCTGCTGCTGCTGTTGTTGCTGCTGCTGTTGCTGCTGCTGTTGTTGCTGTTGTTGCTGCTGCAAGTGCTGCTGCTGCTGCAAGTGCTGCTGCTACTGCTGCGGTTACTACTGATGTAGCTATTGCTGCTGCTGCGGCTTCTGCTGCTGCTATTGCTCACGCTGCTGTTGCTGCTGCTGCTGCTGCTGCTGTTGCTGCTGCAGAGAGTCATTGCCTGAGTCTGCTGCAGCAGGCAGCAAGTCGGTGCTGTGGAGCCGCCAGGCGTATCGCTGTTCCCTCATTCCTGGTGCTGCTGCTTGGTG